AGATCCGATGAGAACGACGGTAGTGAGTTCTCACTCATTTTGTTCAGCTTTTCCAAGGAATGCATATGAGGGAGTCATCATCGATCCGAGCACGTGCTGGGGTGCAGGACTGTGAATACGGCCTCTGGGCAGCTCAATGGGTGATGTAATAACCTCAGAGACCTCAGCAGCCTGCAGGATCCACATCTAAGCTACTGAGTGAGAGGAACAGTCCATTCTTGGGGTAAAACCCCATGTGCCAGTGGGAACATGTGGACAGACTGTCTCTAACAGGTCTATGATCCTAAAGAAAATGGCAGAGCTTAGAACAGAGGAAACTTACCTTCCTGAGCGATCCACAGCCAAGGTCACACACAGGACCACACATCTTTCAAGCTTCTGGCATCTCCATTCATCAAAGGCAAGGTCTCTTCTCTGTAGCCCCCCATGAGCAGTGCATGACCACTGCACCTGAGCAATGTAGACAAGTCACAGACACATGTCAGAAACATCCCCAGGTTCTCAGGTGACAAGATCCTTGCCAACCTTTCCCGGGGTCAGCACTGCATTTGTTTCATGTCCCTATATCCCTTAGGCGTGACTGCAGGCATGTGTGACAGCATGAGGGTATGTGGGCTCTGTGTCCTGTGGTCCTGTACAGAAAACAGCCCCTGAAGAAGCTCACCTTGGACCCAGTCCCTAATGTCACATCCTGTTCACAACCAAGGACAATGGAGCCTTCAAAAGAAAGGAGGCCATCTTTGATCTCAAACATTTTTTGCAATAGTCTATACAATCCTTCTTTTACAGGTTCACCTTGGAACAATCACACCCATTCTACGTACACTATCTTCCTGACCGTGGCTGTCATATGACTTGAATATCGTGTCTCCCACGCTGACACAGGTAAGCGACACTTGACTGACACCAACAACCACCAGAATAACACTGCCACCCACAAAATATCACACTGGCAGAAGGCCTATTCTTCATTTTCGTGGCTAAAGGAGTTGAGCCAGGCAACTCTTCACGCTGAGCCTGCTTGTCCTCACACGCCAGCAGGTAAGCTGACAGGAATTTCATCACCCAAATGAAACGGGTAGAGCCCAACTAAAACTAGGATACTTTCCCTACCAGGAACTGATTATGTCCTCATCCCAGAAGGTTCCAGGCCCTGACTTCCATGGAAACGTTCTGACACTCAGCCATCTTGACCTCAGAAGCATCCTCAAGTCCACAGAGCAAGGCCCTGGGAAAGTAGCTCCGATCGCTGCTCCCACAGAAGGTGCAGGGAGCCTCAGGACGCACAGCCATCACAGCTCTGGTTTTGCACGATCCCCAATTTAGGATAAAAAGTGACACACCCATGTAATAGCACAACTGACTTCACAGAATGACAATGCGCCATTCTCCAAGACAAAAGCAAGACTTAAAGAAAACACATCTTCCATTAAGTCATGCAGCCCTTTACCAGGAAACTCGTCAGTCCCAGGCTGATCACCTGAAATCCCAGACCTCCCAGGCTCTGCCCTGCCCACAGGTTTCCGCGGATCCGTCTGAACCATCGGAAGAGCTCATTAAACACCTGGGCCAGGATAATAAGAACTTCCGGGACAAGTACACTGACCTTAAAATCACTGGCCTTAGCACAGTGAAGGGTCACAGAGAATGTTCCCTGAAGGAAGGTGACCCAGGGCTGGACTGCAGACCGGCTGGCATGGCCCTTGGACCTACTCAAGGTGCTAAAGGTGCTCAGAATCACTGAGCACCACAGCTCTGAACTGAGGATGCCAAGTGACGACTTTCATCCTCCACAGTGAAACACACCAGGCCCTGAGCCTCCCTGGTGGGCACGCATGGGCACCCCATCAGGGCCACAGAAATCCCCAGGAACTGCTGACCGCCATTGGAACAAACAGAGACAGGACGGCCCATAGAGGTCATGGAATCCCATTTCAACCTCCATTAGTGGTGAACCTCCCTTCCTATACAGGCCATCGGACCTCCCAGTGTCAGTCCTCGGCACATAGAACATAGCACAGTCTACGCCTGGCTGTCATGAGTGTGGAAGGGATGCCTGTGTTACAAAAAGAAGCTTCCATATGTAACACCATAGCGCAATCATCTATCATTGCCCACGAATACCTCAAGAAACACAAAAGTCATCACCAGTCAAAAGGAAAGATAGGTGTTGCTCACTGAAGGACCTGGGCTCTAACAGAAGCCATGGAAGATTAGCACTCAGTGCAGGAGCACAGACCATCAGGGGCTACGGCAGGAGTGGGAACCCAACCAACACAGATCCTCCCATGAGCTCCCTGGGCCCAGGCATGACCATGCTCTCCGAGTCCCAAGACTAAAAGGATAGTGGCCACCATGCCAGGAAAGACTGTGCATGCAAAGGAGATCTTATGATTCATGTACATAGAAGAGCAGCTGGAGAGAGACCACCATCTGACAAAAGGCTCTGAACTGCTGACACCTATGTGGTGCTTGCAAGTGTGTGACCAAGGGAAGCTGTCCCTCACTCTTACTGTCCCTGGGACACTAAACATGCTGGACCTCAGATTTGATGAGAATGACGGTAGGGTGTTCACATTCATTTTGTTCAGCTTTTCCAAGGAATGCATATGAGGGAGTCATCATCGATCTGAGCACGTGCTGAGACATAGGACCTGTGAGTAAGGCTACTGGGCGGCTCACTGAGTGACCCAATGACCTCAGAGTCTTAATCGACCTAGAGAATCCAAATCCAACCCACGGAGCAAGAGGAACAGTTCTCAGTACTTGGAGGGGAACCTGAGAGCCATTCAGCACACCCAAACGAGCCGCTTCGAGTAGCACCAAGATAACAAGAAGCCGATGGCGGCACGCAGACCTCAGGAAGCCTTACCTTCTTACGTGATCCCAGGCATGGTGCACACTCAGGGCCACACTGCTTCTGGGGCTCCAGGGAACCTCCAGTCATCTGAGAAGAGAAAAAGTCTTCTCTCAGCCACCAAAGAAGCCTGCAAAGCACTTGACCTGAGAACTGAAGAGAAATCATATACTCGATAGAGAAACATCCCCACGTCCTCAAAGAAAGAATCAAGTGAACTTTTCTGGCAAGTAGGCTTTGTATCTGATTGTCACACAATTCTATCACTGAGGACTATGTGGTGCTGGCCTGAGTGTGACCAAGGGAAAGCTGTCCCTCACCCCACCTTCCTGGGACAATCAACATGCTGGACCTCAGATCCGATGAGAACGACGGTAGGGAGTTCTCACTCATTTTGTTCAGCTTTTCCAAGGAATGCATATGAGGGAGTCATCATCGATCCGAGCACATGCTGGGACGCAGGACCTGTGAGCAAGGCCGGCTGGGCGGGTCACTGGGTGACCCAATGATCTAAGACAGCAGTCAGCAAACTGCGGCCTGCGAGCCACATGCGGCTCTTTGGGTACGTTCCGACTCAAAAGTTTGTCGACCCCTGGAAGAGCCAATCCTGTCCCTCACAACAATTTAAAATTTATTCAACAGCCATAAATATATTTTTACATAATTACCATCATGTGAATAATATCCTTTAAAACATTTTATAAATAAACTATGATAGTTTTGTTTTATTTTCATTTTCAATTTTACTTCACAGGCTTGTGAGCCGCAGTTTGCTGACCCCTGCCAGCTCTTCCATCTCAAAAGTTTGCCGACCCCATCTAAGAGACCTCAGTGGCTGGGAGGGTCCACATGCAAGCCACTGAGAGAGAAAAGCAGTCACTCTGCTCATGGAGGGGGCCCGTGAGCCATTCAGGACACCCAAACGAGCCACCTCTAGCAGCTCCATGAAAACAAGAAGCTGATGGCTACACTCAGACCACAGGAAGCCTTACCTTCCTAAGTGATCGCAGGCATGGTGCACACACAGGAACACACTTCTTCTGGGACTCCTATGCACGTCTGGTCACCCAAGGAGAAAAGGTCAGCTCTTGGCTGACTAAGAAGCTTTAATACACTCAACCTGAGAAGTGGAGAGAAGACGCATACTTGTTAGAGAAACGTCACCAGTTCCTCAGGCAACAAGATACATGTGAACCTTTCCCGGGAGGAGGCCTTACATCTGATTGTCACACATTTCATCGCTGAAAATTGTGTGGTGCTGGCATGAGTGTGACCAAGGGACGCTGTCCCTCAGCCCCACCTTCTCTGGGGGAGTCAACGTGCTGGACCTCAGATCCGATGAGAACGACGGTAAGGAGTTCTCACTCATTTTGTTCAGCTTTTCCAAGGAATGCATATGANGATCCGATGAGAACGACGGTAAGGAGTTCTCACTCATTTTGTTCAGCTTTTCCAAGGAATGCATATGAGGGAGTCATCATTGATCCGAGCACGTGTTGGATGCAGGACTGTAAACAAGGTGGCTGGGCAGGTCACTGGGTTATCCGATGACCTCAGAGGCCTCAGAGGCCGGGAGGATCCACATCCAAGCAACTGGAGAGGTACAGCCAGTCCATTCTGGGGGAAAAAACGCCACCTGCCACTGGGGACAGTAACAGGCTGCCTCTAGCCACTCTATGATCCTAAGCAAAATGGCAGAGCTTGGGACAGAGGAATGCTTACCCTCCTGAGCAATCCAGGGGCAAGGTGCATGCCACAGCGACTTTTCTCAGGGCTCACCAGCACCTCAGGTCATCAAAATACAGAGGAAGGTCTCCGGTCTGTGGCCCATGGTGAGCCACGCACAGTCATTCCACCTGGGCGAGGTAGAAGAGTCACAGATACATGTCAGAAATGCGACCAGGTCCTCAAGTAACAAGATCCATGCCACCCTTTCCCTGGAGAAGTCCTTCCTTCTGATTGTCACCCTGTCCTGAGATATGGGTGGTGCTTGCATATTGTGACCAAGGGGATGCTGTCCCTCACTCCTACTGTCCCTGAGGCAGTCAATGTGCTGGACCTCAGATTCAATGAGAATGACGGTAAGGAGTTCTCACTCATTTTGTTCAGCTTTCCAAGGAATGCATATGAGGGAGTCATCTTCGATGCGAGCATGTGCTGGGATGCTGGACCACTGAGCAAGGCTTGCTGGGCGGGTCACCGGGTGACCAAATGACCTCAGAGTCCTCTGTAGTCTACAGTATCACCATGCAAGCCCCTGAGCAGTGGGAACAGTCATTCTGGTCATGGAAGGGAACCCGCAACAATTCAAAACACCCAAACAAGTCCCCTCTAACAGCTCCATGGAAACCAAAAGCCAATGAGGGCATTCAGTATACAGAAAGCTTTACGCTCCTAAGTGACCCCAGGCATGGTGTTGACTCAGGGGCACACTTCTTCTGGAACTACCGTGAACTTCCGGTGATCAGGGACAGAAAGGTCTTCTTCTCTCGGCCGACTGAGGACCTGAGAATGCACTTGACCTGAGAAGGAGGGAGAAATCACATGTATTTGAGAATCATACAGAAATCCTCATAACAAGAATCAAGTCAACCTTTCCTGTGGAGGAGGCCTTGCATGTGATTGTCACACATTCTGTCCCTGAGTAATGGGTGTGCTGGCATGAGTGTGACCAAGGGGGGGCTGTCCCTCACCCCACCTCCTTTGGGGAGTCAACATGCTAGACCTCAGATCTGATGAGAATGACGGTAGGAAGTTCTCACTCATTTTGTTCAGCTTTCCAAGGAATGCATATGAGGGAGTCATCATCGATCCAAGCACGTGCTGGGATGTAGGGTTGTGAGAAAGCCTGACTAGGCAGCTCACTGGGTGACCCAATGATCTCTGAGTCCTCAGTGACTGGGAAGATCCACATCCAAGCCACTGAGCATAAGAACAGTTATCAGGTCTTCGGGGAGAATCTGTTTGCCATTCAAGACACCCAGACAAGCCACCTCTGAGAGCTCCATGGAATCCGGAAAATTATGGCTGCAGTCAGACCACAGGAAGCCTTACCTTCCTACGTGATCCCAGGCACAGTGCACACACAGGGCCACACTTCTTCTGGAACTCCTGGGAACTTGTGGTCATTCAAGGAGAGAAAGGTCTTCTTCACTTGGCCCATGAAGAGCCTTGCAATGCACTTGACCTGAGAAGTGGGGACAAATGACATGCTTGTTTGAGAAATGTACCCTGGTCCTCAGGCAACAAGATCATGTCAAACTTTCCATGGAGGAGGCCTTGTATCTAATTGTCCCTCAGGCATGAATGCAGGTGGGTGTGATGCCACGTGTGTGGCTGGGTGTGCAAATATGTATGCCTGTGTTCATGGGTGGAGCGTTCCTTACTGAACAGCGAGCCCTGTGCCCAGATCCCATTACACACACCCCCGCCTCCCACTGAAGGAAGACCTGTTTCTTCAAAACAAACAAGAGAAAATGGAAACCTCAGCCTCATGAGGCTACTAAAATAGGTCAAGGGCTCCCACTCTCAGAGCCATGCCTTCTGCAAAAAACCACCATACCAAGTCTACGTACAGTCTCGTAATGACCATGCGTATGAAGTCAACATAGACACGTTGTCCCCGCAAACTGTCACAAGTGAATTGAAGTTGATGGAAATACAGCAATCACTTAAAGGACAAAACCACCAACATTAAGGCTGACACCATTAGCACAGTGGCTACACAGAGCCCATCTAAGTCTCCAAGGACAAAGCGACCTCAGACCAGGCACCACTTTGTACAAACTAAGATAAATGCACTCAGAGGGACGAATGAAGTGAGGGGGTACTTGAGGTTTTCACCCACCATGACTCAGAAAGAAAATCCAATAGGAACTAGGTCACATTCGCATCCAAAGACCGGACATATTCCCATCATGTAGAATCCAGGGCTCTGACATGTGAGAAAACATTCAAATACTCAGAGTACTTGACAAAGGTAGCATCCTTGTGCCTGGAAAGCAAGTTTCCAAAAAGTAGCCTTAAGTGCTTTGGCCAACTGGGGACAGGTCACTATCAGGTAGAATAGCCATAAAGATTTTGACATTAATTATGGCAACTCCCTTAGTTTCAATTATGACAACTCCCTCAACACAGGAACATCACTCATGTCCTTGTACAGGTCCAAACCTGCTTCCACAAAGACAGGAGCAAGAAGTATAATACGATACATGACACATCTTCTTTTTTTTTTTTTTTTAGCTGAGCCATCCTGCTACCTATTGGCAGCTTAGCGGCTGCTCAGCTCGGGCTGGCCTTGAACCGCTGTTGCTCAGAGC